GTGCGGAGCATTCACGCAGCTGGAAGAAGGTATCCCAGGCACCGACTGCGCGTTCCACTTGGACGCGTTCATGCTGTTTGGGCGGCTTGGCGCGGTGGGTGTCGAAGTACCGGAGGAGTGCGAGACGGATATTTGCGACATGTTTGATCAGGTCCACGACCGGAGCCAATGTCAGAGCTTGGACCTGCCAGACGTCGATCAGTGTATTGCTTTGTCGCTGGCGGAGCAGCACTACCGACCGATCTATTGCCCGTGGCTGGACAGCGACAGCGGGGAAGATGGCGTGCTGGAGTGTTTGGACGGGACCAGGTGCGACGTGCAAGATTGGGGGTGGTCGTGCTGCGAGGATCACCTGGGCCGCGCAAAGTGTCCACGGAACTTGCCGGTGATGTGCGAGGAGCTCTGCGGAGGCGAGACGGAGCACTGCTGCGGGACTTCGTGTGAGCAGCGCGGCTGTTCCCTCATGCTGCGCACAGATGCGTACCAGGATCTGTTCACAACGACGACGGTTACCACGGTCACCACAAGTGCGCCCCCCGGCGTCGAAGATCCTGGACTATTCGGCTTCGTCGACGACATTGAGCTTGAGTGGCACGACTCGATGCTGCTCTGGCTGTTGGTCATCGTTCCTTGCAACTGCGTCTGCCTGTGGTGCTGCCGGAACAGCATGAAAAGAGAAGTGGAGCGGCAGAAGGCAAGCACCCAGCAGCATCCTGCAGGTTTGAAGAGCGAAATAGACAAGGACGGAAGCTTCAATCTAGTGCAGCCGTTCCCTTTTGGACGAAACGTGGAGGATGGCAAAGGAAAGGAGATGAAGGTTCATGAGACGATCCTCGTCCACGAGCTACCGCTGTCCCGGCCGCTCGGCCTGGAGCTCGAGGAGTGCTTGGTGGTGCGCGTCCACGCCCAGGGAGCCAAGTGGGGCTGGCAGGTCGGCGACATCATCTTCGAGGTCGCAGGCAAGCCGGTGTCGACGTTCGAGGATCGAAGAAAAAATGTCATAAACGTAAACTTGAAGCGCTCCGCGCGGATTTCTTGGATCCGCGCTGGGCCCCCCCCCCCGGCGGCGCCTCCGGCGCCGCCACTGGTACGCGCGCCAGGGCGGGGGGGTCCAGCGCAGATCCAAGAAACCTGCGCGGAGCGCCGCAAGTTTATGTACATGTCTATTTCTCTTGGCATCGCTCGGACGTGTGCATGTTTCCTTCGGCGAGGGCCATCGAGGAGCATCCTTGATCATGTGGCGAAGAAACCACGCGCGAAACCGAAAAGAACACAGGGAATGGACGTCCGAGCGATGCCCAGTTCTTTCCTTCCCGAGGAGGTGTACAGGATCCTGACGGACGAGAAGAAGCGCCCGCCGGTGAAGTTCTCGGTGTGGCGCGAGGCCTCCACGGCCATGGCCGTGATGGCCGCGTCCGAGGCGGCGAGGCCGACGTCCGTCGCGGGCGCTGGGCCGCCAGGCCGAGGCTCGAGCGTGGCGCCGGAGACGGGCATTCAGGGGCAACGATAGGAGGAGGAGGAGGAGGAGGAGAATCTGGAGTACCAATCCCCCCCACGAGCGTTGCCCTCTTCAGGCATCTCCGAGGATGGCGCGCTGCGCGAGGCGGCCGTCGCCGCCCTCGAGGTGCCGCCGCTGGCGGGGCTCGGGGTGCCGGGCACGCCCTCCTCCACCCAAGCGGAGAGTCAGGCGTTTGGAAGCCCGAAATACGACGACGACGACGACGACGACGACGACGACGACGACGACGACGACGACGACGACGACGACTCGCCACTGACTGGCCAGCGGGGCCTTTCGGGGCACGGAACAAGTGGGTACAATGCCCCACATTATGATGTCCCTGTCTAATTTAGCCTTGATCACCAGAAAAAGGGTTTCGAGCACCAAGAGAGTGCCGAAACTGGGGGGATTTCGCGCGTCTGGGCCTCGGATGGGATACTCGCTCGACACCGTTTCGATACTTTTCTGGGTGCTCGAAATTATGTATGGGATGCGGTTCTTAAGTACAACGGGAGCAACATAAGCCCAACAGCAAATGTTGTCCAAAAGCGACAGCAGCTGCTGTTGGGCAGGCGGCTTTTTGCCTTCAGTGTACAACGTCCGCGGCGGCGTGGACAGCGAGTCCTGTCCAAAATGAACAGGACCTGCTGCTGGGCATTGTACACATCACTTCCGTACCCGCTCCGATCGTCCCGAAGGTGGAGCTCGAGGACGTGAACGACGACGTGCCGCCCGACCTGGCGGCGCGCTTCTCCCCGTGGGCCATGGAGGTCGCCGCGGGGATCAAGCCGCAGGAGGCGAGGAGAATGGCAGAGGAGGAGAGGAAACGCGACGGCGCCGAGTTCAACGTCAGGACGATCAGCGCCATGGAAGCAGAAGCTAGGGCCGCCCGCGAGCGCGCCAAGAGGGGGCAGGCAGAGGCGACGCAGTTTCGCAAGATGGTCATGCAAAGAGGGGATTGGCAAAGCCAGAAGATGCCCAAGAAGGAGGTGAGAGTTGTCAGAGATGCCTGGGGCCGTGCGACCTTGCACGTCGATACATGACCGCTTTAGGGCCAACCTTCCTCGGCATACTGGAATTAGTGTCTTGCTGCCTCGCTGCGTGCATTCTGGCCTGCACCTGTACCTGGCAGATGTGGAAGGGGCGTTCGTCAAGGAGTGCGCCCAGAAGGCTTCAGACCCTGGAGGATTTTTTATCTGACTGAGACGGCAGTGACATCCATGGACAAGCCTCAATTGGCGTCCCACCAAGGGGAACAATGAGTGGCATAAACATAAAAACTCCGAGGTCCGCGCTGCGTTCTCGGATCCGGGCTGGACCCCCCGAGTCTTTCTGTTTTATGCCATTGCTCGTTCCCCTACGATTGGCGCCCCACCGTCTTTCAGGCCCGGCTCCCTTCTCCAAGGGCTCCTTATCCAGTGCTCTCGCCGTGCTACCCGAGACACTTGGGCATGCCAAGCTGCCTCGCGGCACACCGCAGATCGCCCCATCCGGCCATCCTGTGGTGTTGGGTCTTCGTGCCCGTTTAAAATTTTTATATGTTCAAATTAAAACGGGGAACTTGAAGAATCGGATCCGCGGACCCCAGAACCCACCCGTGTTAGGATTCTACGGGGGAAGGGGGTTCGGTCATTAACTTCCAACTCATCATCGCCATTTGCGCCTCAAGAGGAAAGCCTTCCGTCCTGCGTAAGTAGACAGCGCCAGGCGTCCCTCCCTCCCTCCCTCCCGCCTCCTCCGCCTCCTTTTCCTCCCGCTCCTCCATGCTCCCATCCCTACCTCTGCCTTCCGCACACTGCATGTCCTCATCATCAGCGTCATCATCAGCATCATCAGCAGCATCCTTATCATCATCAGCAGCATCATCATAAGCATTATCATCAGCAGCAGCAGCATCAGCATCTTCATTGTCATCCGTATCATCATCATCATCATCATCATCATCATCATCATCACCACCATCGTCATCATCATCAGCAGCATCAGCATCGTTACCATTAGCATTGTCGTTACCATTACCATTACCATTACCATTACCAGCATCAACATCAGCATCTCGGCATCACCATCATCATCGTCGACATCGCCATCATCATTATCATCAGCAGCATCAGGCGTCCCTCCTTCACTCCCTCCCGCTCCTCCGTCCTTCCCCATCCCTGCCCCTGCCCTCCGCACTCCGCTTGTCCTTCTCGTCCTCGTCCTCATCATCATCATCATCATCATCATCATCATCATCATCATCCTCATCATCAACAACAACATCAACATCATCAGCATCATCATCAGCATCATCATCAGGTCCATCGTCACCATCATCACCACCATCATCACCAAGCGCATCATCGTCATCATCACGATCATCATCCCCATCAGTATCGACATCATCATCATCGTCAGTGTCATCGTCGTCGCTATCGTCATCGCCATCGCCATCGCCATCGCCATCGTCGTCATCACCATCACCAGCATCATATTAAGCATAAGCATCATGATCATCAGCATGATCATGATCATCATCATCATCATCATCATCATCATCATCATCAGCATCATCATCATCATCATCATCAGCATCGCCATCACCAACATAATCATCATCAGCACCATCATCACCACTACCACCACCATCAATACTATCAGCACCATGTCTATCATCGTCGCTTCGTGGCCCCATAGAGAGCTCCACCGAAGGCCCCAGTAGCACCGTACACCGTGCACATGCGCCTACTCCACCAAGTACATCGCCTCGTGGCCCCGTAGGGAGCTCCACCGAAAGCCCCAGCGGTCACCCAGTAGAGCGTTTCGTGCCTCATCGAGAGTTTCACCGAAGGCCCCAGTGGCACCGTTTTCATGCGCCTCCCCAACTCAGTACAACTCTTCGTGGCCCCACAGGGAGCTCTACCGAAGGCCCCAGCGGCACCGTCTCCCCCACCCACTGCAATGTTTCGTGACCCACGTGGAGGTCCACCGAACGCCCCAGAGGCACTGTTCGCATGCGCCTCCCCCACCCAGTACCCATTGGGGCATAGATCACCGGGGGCCGTGGCTACATCAGGCCCTTCTACCGACCCTAGGCTTCCCAAGGGTAGGCCCTACTGAAGGCCCTAGGCTTCCTAAGGGTAGGCCCTACTGAAGGCCCTAGGCTTCCCAAGGGTAGACCCTACTGAAGGCCCTACGTTTCGTGGCCCCACAGGGAGCTCCACCGAAGGCCCCAGTGGCACCGTGCACATGCGTCTCCCACGCTGTACAGCATCTCGTGGCTCCACAGGGAGCTCCACCGAATGCCCCAGTGGGAGGGTCCGCATGCGCCTCTCCTACCCCGTCCCAGCACCGTGCCACCATTACGGCACGCCCCTCACGCGCGTCGTGGCGCCATCGGGAGTTCCACCGAACGCGCTAATCACAACGCTGTGTTCACAAATGCATATGGTTGGGTCCTTCGCCGGGATAACTGTTTGCGGTGTGGTAGTGCTTAGGGGGCCCATTTCTGACTTGAGAGCGTGTCTCCGTTCTGCTGCGTACTGATAGCCACAGTTGGCATTGTGTGTGTCGTCGCGCACCTTGAAAAACTGTGCTTGACTGCGTGGCGATCCGCAACAGCCTAAGCTGATGCTAGAATCTGAGGCTCGGGGCTTGCAACGGTGCAGACAAGGTCGTGTGATCAATCAGGACGAGTTGGGACATGCTACGATTGGTTCAGCATGCTGCGAGTGCCGTTGCTGCAGTAGCTTCGGCTTGCCCTTCACCGTGCCTGAGTAGTGGACAAGGCGCATCTTGGGTGGGATCTCTGAAGGCCTCTTGGGTGCCTCTTTGAGGCCCGCTGGCGCTCTCGGAGGCCGTTTTGCGGTGGGGGGCTCAACTTGTTAATTCGAGTTCCCCCTCGTGGGCCTCTCCTGGGGACCTCTCGGGCCTCTCTTGGGAGCCTGGGGCCGTCCAGGAGTGACCTTCAGGGGCGTGTTGTTGGATCGTCTTGGACGCTCTGAAGTCAGCGGGGGGTGAGTAGACGAAACACATACAAACCGAACGGATCGCATTCAATGAGTTTGGCTTCTTGGGTTGGCGTCCAGGCCTCCACAATGACCTACGCGGCCCCCGAAAGAGCTCCAGGACGCCACCGTGGGTCCATCTTAGGGCACGTGGGCAGTGTAAAACCCCAGCCGCGCACCCAGGGATCCACGAACGGTCACATGGGAAGCCTCAGGCGCGCCCAGGGGAGCCCGTGATTTGAGAGTCCGGGGTCTTGAAAGATCATTTGCAATATCAAACTTGGGAATTTGAGAAAGGTGACTAGGGATATTCCACACAGTGCCTACGCCATGATGGCGGATAGCTTTGAATCCCAGGGTCGCGTCGCCTCAAGACATTGGTAATGGTATAGGGAACGAGGGAAGAGTGAGGTCACGCTGGGCCACGAAACGACGTGTATGTTATGCAGCCGGGTGTCCGAATCCTGAGAGGCAGTGCCATTTACACTGGAATTCAGCTTGTCAGCACCTGTGTCCCAGTACGGCCAGCAAACGCTAGAATGGAGACAGTGTTGCCTCATACTGCCACGGCTGCCTGAATTGTTTCAGAAACAGGTCTGCGCATCAACCGTCTCATGAGTGTTTTGTTTATGAATGGCCTGGAAGTGGATTGTATGTTCTTACAGTGGGGGGCCATGCCAAGAAACACCCTGCTTGCCTCCACGGTGCCCTGGGTTTCTTGGGTTTCGATGGTTTTGCTGTGGAAGGCGTGACGTTCCCGCGCAAAAAACGATGGATGCCCTGGGGTCTCAGGGTTGGGTTTCTTGTGGAAGGTTTCTTGTGGTCGGGTCCCTACTGTAGTGCAGCCGAACTGTCTAGCACGGGAAAATGGCCGTCGTCATGTACACAAATGAGGGAGGCTCGGGCCGAGGCGATCGGGCTGGTCCGTCGGCGGCTGCAGTCTTCGGGCGGGGCGTGGCTGGATAGCCTGACCGACATACTTAGCAACAAAGACTCGGCGATGGACGGAACACCCACCCTGACACGTCGATTAGTGCATTGTCCGCTTCCGGTTCTCAAGAGGGCGCCGCGGCCGTCGTTTTCCAGGTTTGCGCCCGCCAGGTTTGGGCCCGAGGTATTTCTCACTAAACCACGTTTTACTAAAGGGGGGTCTGTTCATTCCCGAAAGACATCACTTGCGTGTTTTCTGCGCAGTGACTTTGCCTGAGTGCTCCTGATTGATTTGGTTCCCCAGCGCAGAGCGACACCATCCTCACGGTTCCTGAGTTCCCCGGGCTTCGGTTTGTGTTTCCTTTGGTGTTGGTTCCCAGGTCTTGGGCCCCTGTGCCTCAGGTTGTTGACTTGAGCTTCGCTATGCCATGCTTTGTTGGACAAGGCTACGCTATTCGATGCAAAGCGATGTAAGGATACGCGATATTATGCAACGCAGCGCAATGCCATGCAACGCTGTATGACGCAAGTGTATGCTAGGCCTTGCTACGATGATGCGCGCTCTTACGTCATGGTATGCTGGTATGTTGTACTTAGCTGCGCCATGATAAAGTACGAAAAACGATATGCAATGTGCGAGGCCATGCCATGCAGTGCAACGGTACGCCCCACTGCACACTGCGGTGCCGCTCCACGCTATACGATGTATTGCGATGCTGCTCAAGGCGATACAACGATACGAAATGCAATGCAATGGAATTCTGCGCTATGCATGGGCATGCTGTGCTGTACCATGATCTGTTGCGGCATGTGATTCAGCACTAGTCCATGATATACAAGTCGATGCATAGAACGGTTACGCGCTGCTGATATGCCATGATATGCAATGCTGTTGATTACTATACAGTACAATTTGTTGAATGACAGCGTGTTGCATTGTACGGTATTGCCTTGACTCGCATTGCATTTCGCACGAGTGCTCCAAGGCAGAGAATACCCCTCTTTGGTCTTGTATTGGCTTCATGTCTCCCCTCGAAGCGTGAGCGGCGTTCGATCCTACCTTCTGGTATCGCGCTGGAAATAATGGTGCAGCGTTTATGGACGTTCCGTGCAAAGCAGTGGCCTCAGGATTACAGATGCTGTATGGAAACGGTAAAATCGCGTATCGCGCGACCAAGCGTTTGTTAGTACATTTGCCGTTCACGTTGCACGAAAGCGTGATATAATCCTCGCAGCGAGACCATCGTTCTGCCGAGGTGCGATTCCAAGGGCTTCCAGAAGGCCAAGAGCTCGTCCTAGTATCCGGCCCTGCCTCATCCTCGCCTCCTTCCCTTCCTCGCATCCCCTTCTTCTGGTCCATTGATTCCGTAGCCAGTTTGGTTCAAGTAGATGGTCGGTGTTTCATTATTTGTTGCACGCATGTGCGCGGAGGGCACCTGCACGCATAATGAGAGGGATTCCCACCATGACTACACAATATCTGAAGATACCATCTCGGCGCTATGAGCATCAACACGTTTGCCCGGGACCTGTGCGCCTCAAGATTCGCTGCCGCGCGTGATCAATTATTGTCATTCAGTGGTGCTGATCTTTCAAACGAAATTGCATCTCGAGATGGTCAGACGACATGCTCTCGACTAGGAGAAGGCTGGTATGCATCGCCAGGAGGGGTGTCTTATTATAGTACGTATCTGATGGCAGACAGTTGGACGGCCAGCGAGCAACGTGGACGTCGCAAGATGGCAGAACACGTCGCTTTTGGTATATGTCTGCCAGTGGAATGCTTGGAAGTACCCAGCTGGCATGTGGGCTCTATCATGCTCGATCTGCTGCCAGCATCATTTTTGAAGAAAGTCTTAAGGAGCGCTCAGCCAGGACCTCCCTGGCATGGCCTCACTGCCGTCTTAAGACCTTACACCCTTCGGAGAGCCTCATGCATCCGACAAAGCAAAGCCCATCTCGGCAATCTCTCGGTGATCGGGACGACGCCGTTACAACAAGTGTTGCAGGCACTTGAAGCTGGCATCGCGGGCCATCGGGGCTTCAATTACCCAAGTTGGTGCTTACTTTCCGAACTCCTGCAGCAACATTACGACAGCCCCGGCGAAGAGCCGCACCACGCCGACGCAGAGGTGGCAGTACAGGCTACACTGACGCACTGGGGTCAGCGCTGGGAAACACCACACGGCAACAAGGCGACACGATGCTACCCATCAGAATTGTTCGGTCCACGCCTGGCTTTTCAGGCCACTCTTGGTAGCGATGAGTGGCCATCGATGGTAGCAATGCAATGGGTCAAGCATTATCTTTCGAGTGCGGCTAACATAGATCACCGTGAACATTGGCACTCGTTGGAATCAGGGTCTCATTGGGACATAGATGGATGTTTACCCCTAGCCGTACTTAACCTCATCGTTGAGTCACAGAAGTTTCTGATCATCGATGATATGCCAAGACTTGCTCTAGAAAGCCTACACCTTGCAGCTGTTCTGGGAATTCGGTCTGCAGCAGCTTTCGCAGTGACAGATTGGTGGCCTTTTGACCTTCACGACGTCTTCTGGAACCTCGCGCGGCTGCACAGAGCAATTCGTGTTGGGATGCGCCCACAGCCGTGGCATGCCGCACCACAGCGCCTGTTATCGCCACCGCTATGTGAAATTAAAGCGTTGGGGAACGCGTGCGTTTGCGACAGCAGAGTCTATGTGACCCAGCGGCGCAAGTGGGCGTCGTACTGCGATGAAGGAGGCGTGCGATGGCTGCCGTTGGGGAGCATGCCGGTGCCAAGACCCTCGAGCCGTGGACGCGCGTGGGTGCTCCCCGTGACGTCGGTGCTCAACCCTTTCCACTGGGTGCGATGGTTGCTGCCTGCAGTCATTCGGAGGGCCGAGGCCCCCTGCCGCAGGCGGAATCATCTTGGGATTGGCTTGGGGCCACCTCCGGGTATTCCCTGGCCGTCCAGGAGGAGGAGGAGGAGGAGGAGGAGGAGGAGGAGGAGGAGGAGGAGGAGGAGGAGCGGGAGGAGGGGAGGAGGAGGAGGAGGAGGAGGAGAGGAGGGGGGAGGAGGAGGAGGAGGGGGGGGGAGGGGCCCCTGGGGGGGGCATATGGGAGCCTCTGGGTGCCCACCGTTGGGCCACCTGCGGCAACGCTCGAGCTGTATGGCAGCGGCGCCAGGGGGCATCTTGGGTCAGCCTGGGCGAGACTGGCTGCATGTCGCGGCCTCTGGACGGAACATCTGGGGTCATTCTGGGCGATCTTTGAGTGGTCTCCTCCTCCTCCTCCTCCTCCTCCTCCTCCTCCGCCCTCCGTCCTCCGTCCTCCTCCTCCTCCTCCTCCTCCTCCTGGGCGATCTTTGAGTTGTCCTGAGGGTTCCGAGGGTCATCCAGGATTGGTTGGCGTCTGGGGGCCGCCTCGAGGCCATCTGGGGCTGTCTCGGATAGGGGCCCTCGTGGGGCGCTGGTGGGGTGGCTCTTGGGCCCGTTTGGCTGTCTGGTGGTGTCCCTACGGGATTTCTGGAGCGAGCTGCGCCAGCCAGGGGAGAGGCACCCTTCTCATTTTGTAGACAAATTCCATTGGCCCCCTT